GGGGGGGGGGGGGGTTCAATTTTAAATAAAAAGCACAATGCTGTTAGCATTTTTGGAAGCTGATCATTCTCCTTTGCTCATCTAACAGGGGAGAAATCCCCAAGGACAAGAAAAGCATCGAATAGTAGGGTTGCACAGATACCAAGTACAGTACTCGGTACGAGTACGAGTACATGTACCGATACTTTTGAGTTCCAAGACTACACTAGAGAAAAATTCAAAAATTAGGAGGCAGCTGTCATTTGTAAGGAGCACACGGAGCTCCTGGGATTTGTGCATCTCTGTTTAAATGTACGATTTTGTTTTTATAAATATAAATAAAGGGATGCACAGATACCAGTTTTGCGAGTACGAGTACTGGTACTTGCTGAGTACTTACAAGTACGAGTACTGATACATTTTTGTTTATTGTCATGCGACAGTTTTTCTAAAACAATACAGACTAATGATTTCAGGACAGTGGTGGAGCACCAGAGCCAGGTCCCAGCTGAAACCCTGGTAGTTCTTATGAAAATGCCAAGTATCTGCACTGGTACTCGAAAAGTATCTGTGCATCCCTAGTGCATAGTAATACCTGCTTGGCATAGACACAGATTAGAATGTCAATCACCACACTGTGTACAATTGTTCCTAGTAATTGTTATAGGTCAACCTACCCAATATTGATATTTGAGCTTTTGGTAAATGCTGGAGAGGTAAATTAAGTTGGGCAAAAAAACTGAGATTTTACTGTAGCTACGGCTCGACTGACCATTACTAAAATATCCCTTTTAGGTAGACTGACCCTTGACTCAGGCACCCAAGTCTTTAAATTGCATACTTTATAACATCCCAGTGTTTAATTGCATATTTTAAGGCACAGTAAAGAATGTATTTATTTTGCTTCTAAGGTGGTATACATTTAGTGTAGTTCCAAGTACTGGTGATGCGCTCATTTTAGGACATTCCTGTAGTCATCCCTTGTGATTGGTTTGGACCAGAATACATGATCAAATATATGAAACGAATACATTATTATACCAATACATAATTGTATTAACCTTTGGTCAGGTCTATATGTTTTTCTGAAAGTCGTTTTGCTTGCTCAAATACAAATATTGCCTCAAGAAATTAACTGTATCATTTAAAATAGTATGAAAGATGTATAGGTTATAGAATTTAAAGGTTATTTTAATAACGAAGTCTTTGACCATGGCACTGTGTCTGTTTCTTTGTTCTAATCTGTATATCCATTTACCAGATGATGTATTATTTTTACTGCTTCCACACAAAGCCTGCTACTTTCAGCTAAAAAGGGCAGCAACAAGCAACAAGATGCAACATGACAGCCATTTAATTTTTATTATTTTTTTCTTTCCCTTAATGTCCCCCTTCTACACTCAGCTGAACGAGACAGCCAAACAACTCATTGAGAAGGACAAGACAAGCATATCTACAGCACCAGGCTATGAGGTCCCTATCTCACTTGATGCCAGCCTGGTAGTCAGGGTGACCTCAAGTCCTCCTTTAAGCAGTACCTCTGCCAACCAGAGGCATATGGACATCAAGAAGAATGCCAAGAAACGCCACTCCTTCACAGCCCTCAGTATGACGCACAAATCCTCCCATGCCATGAATAACAGGCATTCCATGGAAATTAGTGCTCCAGTATTGATCAGTTCTAGTGATCCGCGCGCTGCTGCCAGAATCGGAGGCGTGGCTCAACTTTCATCCAGTGCTCCAGTCCAGGTAACTGTTTATACAGTAGCCACATGAGGGCAATAGTCTAAATAGAGCACCCATGTAGATGGCATTTGCCAAAACTAAGTTCATCAGCCGTGCTCTAAACTGGTGAACCCTGTGGCATGTATGCTTTAATACATGTGCTGACAATGGACATTGTCTACATGCTGCTTTGACTTCTTATTTCAATGTCTACTAATCCTAAATCTGACATATCTAATTTTTCTAATCTGTACTAAATTTTTGTTGCCCTCATTTTGACAGCATAACTAGGATCACATTACATGTGGCCAGATTTATAGTGCAGGAGGGAAGACTGTCTGTGTTTCCCATAGAAACGGATCAAATTCCAACTCTTTTTGCTATTTGACTACCGCTAGAAGAAAGACAGCTGAAATCTGATTGGCTGCTCTAGGTAGCACAGCTATTTTTCCTTCCTCCTTCTTTTATAAATCAGCCTCAGTATACTGTAGATGCACCTTGTTATTCATGGCTTTTGGAAGGTTAGTTGGCATGATATTTAATGCTCACATATTAACATGCTAAGCTTTAGAGTAACTTGATATTTATGATCCTAATATCTACATCAATTAGGTATTTACAACTCTGTATGTAATCATTTATGTCTTTGTCCTAATTACAAACAGTACTAAAAGCTGTTTTGAATATCACTAACTCCTTTTTCCCCCCCTAACCTTTTGCTTTTGAAAGAACAAGTGGATCATAACTTCTGATTTGTGTCTAACATCCACCTGCTGCTATCTGGAACTTGCTAATACTTTTGCTGTGAGAAAAGCTGCTGTTTTATAAATTCCTAAAGAAATGTCATTATATTTAAAAAATGCTTGAAATAAATCACAAAATGTAAGATCAGGGTATTGTCTGGCAGGAGATGTCCATGCTTGAACCTTTCTTAAATCCGTTATTCCCCATGGTGTTAATGATATCTGGTCTCAGATGGTACATTGTGCTTCTATTTCATTCACACTTCACTATTACTGACAGATGCACAGAAGGGTGAAGGGTTACATTTATTCCTCAGGCACTTCATGAATATTGAGGCTTTCTTATTTCTCAGTCTGGTTACATTGTGTCACTCAGATTATCCTATGAAGACGTCTGGAGCAATGCAGTACTAGTTAGCTGTGTGCTTGGTCATTGTTATCCTATGAAGACGTCTGGAGCAATGCAGTACTAGTTAACTGTGTGCTTGGTCATTGTTTAATAACATATGTATGATTGTATGTTTTAACATGTTGCACTTTTACACTCACACACATATAGGAAACTGTCAGTTTCAATTATTCAGAACAAAAGTTAACATCAGTTTTTCTGCTATTTAATTTAGATCATTTCAGTTAAATCTATATTTAGCCTTGTCATATAAGCAATTTTGTGACAGAGATTTCTGTCTGTAGCTGGCTACAAAATTGCTGCATTAACAGGACGTAGTACATGTCTATGCGGCTACAAATTTCTCATGTGATGTGAACATCAGCTGTATTTTATGACAAGGGAATCTACTGAAGCTGATGGTTGTTAGCCAGCTCAGAAATTCTGCTTATCTGTTTTCTACGCAGAAGTAGAGAGCCTCTTGAAGGGTGTGCTTCTTTAGTGATCATGATACCTCCCACGTTTTTGTAGAGTGCATGAAAGCAGCATATGTGCTGCTTTCTAGGGTTGGAAAAATGTATTCTTTTTTTTTTCATTATTATTCCTTATTTGCATAATAGTTTTGCTACATATGTCATGAAATTATAAAGACCATCTTCAACTGGTACTACTTTATTTCTAAAGTTACCGTGATCAATGACTAAAATTCCTTTCAATTTGTTTAATCTATAATTAGATTTATATACTGTATATTTATAAAGCTCTGACATATTCTGCAACACTTTGCAGGCAAAACCAAACCATCAACACAAAGGGGTTGATTTACTAAAGGCAAAAAAGCTTGCAAAGGAATTTGCACTATGCAGGGGAAGTTTCCCTTAGCTGAGTTTAGTGAATGAGGTGTATTTCTGCGGACTTCCGTCTTTTATTCATGTACAAGCAAAAATACTGTTTGTTTTTTTAGAATCTTTGCACATCATTGGGTATTCTTTGCAAAGTGAAATTTCACAACATCCACTAAGCTAAGGGAAACTTCCTCTGAAAGTGCAAATTTCCTTGCAATGTGAACAGTCAACTGGTATGTATGGATTTTGGGAGATTACTCTAGCATATAAATGTATAAATTCGCCAATAAATGTATTTTTAGAGCCAGATTTATTTTATAGGAACAATCTGTGATATCCACTTTTAGGGGTAATGTGTGAAATCCACCCATAGTAAATATTTAACAATAAAGTCCCTCTTCCAGAACTGATTTGCTGACTAGGTGACAGAAGGTGGCTGATGACATAGTGTTCCTATTTTTCAAGTTAATGGAGTAGGGAATTTACCAGTAAATCATTGTTCTGTTTATTGCTTTATTTTGCTTTATTTTTATTTTTTTTTGGTATATGCTAAGAAAACACAAGTATATAAAGATGTTAGGAGTACTTTGCTAAATAATTTTAATTATACCTTAGATGTTAAATATCTGTCAGATAAAATAATGTACATTGAAATTGGGATTTATTCATTCTCAAATGAAGTGTAGCAGAATAACATGCAGATATGGTCCCCTTAATATTTACTCAAGCAGCTGAATGCACATATGTAATGAGGTCGCTTTTTATCCCACTCGCACGGACATCTTGATTTTAAGCATGTGAGGTATTTTAATATGTGGCAAGCAATTTACCAAGGTAACTGTGCAAATTGCATCTGACATCTCAAACGTGAGCAGAGAGAAAGAGGCTGAAAAGGAGGAGGAGGCTTTTCAAAGTACCAGTCACATTAATTCAGCAAATGCATCAATACATCTGTTCTGTGTGATATCTTTTAATGGAATAACGACATTGACAAGCTCTACTGAGCTAATCTCCTTTTAGCAGGGCAGAGATATGCTTCCAATTTTAAATACTCTTTACCTGGTGTGAGAACAACAAATACTTGGAGGGAGAAAAAAAAATAACTTTTGATTTTTGTGTTCCATAAAACTGCAGTACCTGTCGATGGGGTTGTCCTTAAAAGAAAGCTTGAAATGAGATTGTAGAGGTTTTCTAAGGTGGGGAAAATACAACGTGATGATAGGTATTTGCAGATTTAAGTTTATAGTGGATTTGTAATTCACGATTAAGACGGTGACTACTTACTGTACATCAAGTGCCCTGTCAGTTAACAGATAAAGATTATTTTAATACCCCATTGAATACATAGACATATATTGATGCACTGGTGAGAAATGCTTCTTTTCTTATTGTTGAGATAAGGCGTGAAATGCTGTCTAATAAACAGCTCTGCTGGCTAGTATAAGCTAATTTGTCTGTTGAGAGATGTAAATAAGGAAGCAAGCAGTGGATCAGTGCTGCTTAACTAAGGAACAAGTGCTGAATTTAAAGTAAACCTGTAGCGATAGAAATACAGGGCTAGAGCAGGTTGCGTAGCTGTCTCTGGCTTCACGATGAGACAATGACCTGGAGCAAGCATGATGTTTAGAAAGTCATAATCAAGTCAGACTGTATACTGTACTTCAAGCCATTGGAAAACTATGACAGGCAATTAGGATTTTTTAAAGAAGTCATTCAAGTCCAGGTTTCCTTTAGAGGCATATCCGATCAGAAACAATTACTATTGGAACAAAAACTTTCCCAGGCAAGGTACTTTTATATTATGATATTATTATTTTTACCCATCTAGCACATAATTGAGTGTCATATACTGACACATATTGTATCTATTCATTGTTTTCGTGTGTCGTCCAAACAACAAATTAATTTGAGGGTTTTTAATTAAAAGAGAACTATGGGGAAACCTTTTTATCACATAGTTCTCTTTAGGGTCACGGGAGGACATATACTAACCTCCTCCCATGACCCAAAGCTCAGTATATAGTGAGCTACAGCTCACTATATATTGAGAGTGCCGCAGCCCGGGACGGATCCCGACAATACTGTCGAGATCCACCCAGCTGGCTGATTGACAGTGGGCCCTCCCCCGTCTGCTCCTCTAGTCGGCGCTGAAGGATCGGAGAGGGGAGGAATCCCTGTGGGGAGCAGTGACTCACAGTCACCGCTCTCTGCAGGGAGGTGAGCGAGAAGTGAGCGAGCGACAGTATGTGTTCGTTCAGTTCTCGATCAATAGAGCCGACTTGTGACAGTTTCATTGTCACACGTCGGCTCTAACTATGAGGATGAGTGAAAATCACTCACCTCATAGTTCTCCTTTAAGGGGTGTTTAAGAGTTCTCATTATCAGCTAGTGGTCAAAGATGGTATTGCAGTATATTTTGCTCAGTATATGTGCACATTGACTTTAAAGCTGTGATTCTCAACTGGTGGTTAAAAAAAAAACCAAAACATTCCCAGCACACTCACCAGCCAGCCTGCACAAAAAAGTACACCATCTTGTACAGAGGTACAGAGGTACAGAGGTTTTAGTTGCACAACTTTTGCAAAACAAGTGGAAGCCACTCTGCCTCATCAAGGCCCCTCAGTACAGTGCAGTCCTAACTCTAATCTATGAGTGCCTCCATCATGGAGCATATTTATAGCAAAGGATGAATTGGGGGCAGGTTCGCCAGGAGGTAGCCAAAGGAGGGTCCCAACCCCAGGTAGAGTGGGTTGCCATGTACCTTCCACTGCGCTAGGTGAGAGGCTCCTCAGCCTCCCCCTAGTGCAGCACTGTCAGTTCTCGCGCTGAGCAGCCATTCAAAATATACTGCCCCGCACCTAGTGTCAGCTTGAGATGGGTTGTGCTGAGGGGTATGACCGCGAGGGAGCTCCATCCATACGTGCATTGCTTACAGCTTCCTCTTGTGCCCTGTAGTGGTGCCTGGACTGGGGGTGACTTCACATTCTGCCTCCCTGGCACCTCTACAGGGCGCTCAGCAGAGTGTACAAGCAATGCACATATGGATAG